ACAAGGCATTCATTGAGGTTAACGAAGAGGGTACCGAAGCTGCTGCTGCAACTGCTATGGTAGTAATGATGAGAAGCGCGTCAATTGAGCCGGAGAGACCTGAAACATTTCATGCCAATCATCCATTTTGCTATGTTATCTATGACGAAGTCTACGGTTGTCTCTTTATGGGAAACCTAAAAGGTAAAGATCCGAGCACAAATACTATGGAAGTATGTACTCCCTGTAAATCAGCCTGCCCAAGACTATTTGCAAATAAGGGCATCGAAAAATAAAATAGCTAAAGGAATGTAAATAACTATAATTATTATTGCATTGTTATGTTTATAATGGGAAAAGCAGTTCAAATTAACTTCAATAGCGGATAATAGTTGTCTGCTCATATAAATATATCAAACTAAGGTGATTAGTGCTATGCTGTCATCGCTATGCATAGCTATGTGTCGCCATTGGATCACGTGCTCATCTCCAATTCGAAATACCGAATGAGCAGTAGCGTGTGTTTAATCTGATATTGCGGTAGTTAAGGCATTAGCAGAAACGCACACAAATTCTGCCGTTTATGTGGATTCAGTTACTTTTCCGTTAATGGGATCGACAGAATAACTTGCTCCACTTGAAGAGATAATCATTGCAGCTGAGATAATTACGCAGCGTAGCAGATAAAAACGCTTGAGCAATTGCAAAATTTGACGACTAAAAACAGATATGGAACATATGTATATGTATGTAGTCTGCTCATGGCAGTCCAATGGTCAGCGGGAAAGAAACTAGAGAATGACTCAGGCTACAATAATCATGAGTATTTACATAGCAGCACTCCACAAACAGATCATATCAATCGGAGATATGCTTACTGTGAAAAAGTACGTCAATCGGGGAACTTTTTATGGCACAGGCGAATGTATATCAAGTTGAGCTAGAAAAGTAACAGGAAAATCAATGCAGCTATAATTCTATAAAATGCATGGCATTTATTATTTATATAGGTTTTTTTTTTCATAATTTGTAATTATATAACTAGCTAGTTATGAATTGCAGACCAATTAGCAATGCCAACCGCCCGTCTATTTATGCATTCATTAACACCGCAGAGCTCATTTGTGTATTCTAATTGTAATTACAGCTTACACTAACTAACGCATTGTGACTCTCCGTTCTGTAATATGAAACGGCTGCCAATTGACCCAAATGCATTGACCCTGACATCTGCCAACGGTTCGCGAGCCAATGAAACAGTTGCCCAATCAATTTCCCGTCCCTCAAGCAATATAATTAACCAATTATAACTTGAAAACTCACCTCAGCCTAGGCAGGCCAGCCCAACAGGTGCACGCAGCACTTGAAAATTACTGAATTGTGCGAAAGCCACAGCTGCCAATAACAATATACGCCCATCAACAGTTTAGGGCTAACCAAAGGCCAACAGCTAATGGTAGCAATCAGGTCATATATCCGAGCCATCGATTAGGGTCTAATGCAATTTATGATGACAACCTGTGGGTGATGGGTATTGAGTGGCGAAAGGCGAAAGGCAAAAGGCGAACGGGGAGCGGGTGCTGTGACACCTGTGCGCCCATAGACGACAACCTGTCAAAGCTCTCTAATTACATTATCTATATCTCATTAGCAGCCCTTCCAGTGTGTCACTTGGGGCGGCGCTGCGTTATGTGGATCGTCTCGAATTTATGCAAAAACTGCACAACGAACGAGTTCACTGCACTTGGAGCTGGGGCAGACGATTTCTGATTCTGGCTACCAGCATCAAATTACCCCAAAAGAATGAAGAGAAAAAGACAAAAGACTGTGCACTACTGGAAGATACCCAGTAAATAAATATAGTCCAACTGAATCATGATTAGGATTTATAAATAGTACATGAAATACTGCAGACCAAGAAACTTGAAACATATCCAAATTTAAATGCGTTTCTAGAGCGCCTTCAATTCATGTTGCTCTAGCATATATGCTCCAAAGTATAAGTATAATGAAAATGCAAATAAAAGAAGAAAATATCACAAGTGCTCGCCACTGGCCACGCTGAGGTCAAAGTGTTTGACACATGTGAGTGGCCATAGACAATAGAGATGCCTGCGGCATGCACAGTTCGCGGTAGACAGCTCATGCTCGTTCTCATGCTCATGCACATGCTGGAATATTATTTCACATAAAAATGTTGGCAGGACAACTCAAACACAAACAGAAACACGAACAAAAAGAGACTGGAGAGGGCAGCAGTCGATGGCTTCATTTGAGCTAGAGTCTGGACAGTTGTCACATCACATGCTTAAGGCCAATGGCTTGGCCACTTCTGATGCCTGTGGACTTGCCCCCGTTTTTGCCCAGTTTTTCACTTTAGCCACAAGGTCAGCGACTCCTACGCCATTCAATTGAAAATTGTGCTCTGCTTTTCTCTGCTCTGTTCGGTTTTGTTCTGTTCTGTTTCCGTTTCTGTTTGTGTTTACTAGGCAATTCAGAAATGAAAACAGAAATGCATTTATTTATAGCTGGACAACACGCCATGCAGGCAAACTGACCTACATTCAGTTCCGTGTCGCAGCGTCTGTCTCTCTATAGAATATGTTGAAATATTAGTCGTCATCTTTAGATATATAATAATAATATATGTATGTATGTGTGTATGTGTATAAATGTTTATGACCTTACAGCCAAGAACCAAGCTAGTGAACTAGCTAAAAGCGTGTGTCTGATTTATGCTGATTGACAAGTTTACACATCAGCAGAGAACACATTTCGGAAGTCTTATTTTACTAATGTGCCTAAATTGAAAAGTTATTGAACATTAATTAGAAATTCCAATATCAAGCTGACTGACAACTGGCCTTCTCCAATCGACGGCTCACCTTAGATGGGCAGAGTTCTCAGCCCGGACACGTGGCCAGCGGTGAGTGAGTCGTTAAGGTACTCGAATGGTCGTATATCACAAAATTCTGGCAAATACTTTACATTTGATTGATGTGCTTGAGCTTAGGGCGCTCATTGGAATATTATCAGCATTCTGATAGCGAAATTTGAAATACTCATATTTGCATATATTGTAGACAAACAATGAGTCAAAATTATTGGAATTCGCAAAGCCAAATTAACCTGTGAGGCCTAAAAACGGATCAATTAAATTGGGTCTGTATTTCAATTTATTTAGTACAAATCATTTGCATTGTGTAGAAGTATTAATTGGAGCATATGAAACTGATGTAACATAATTTAAAAGCCCGTAAATTTGGAAATGGAAATTGAGTATGGAAAATATTTACTTATTTAATAATTTTACAGTTGAGCTCTTGAGTTGAGTTCTTTAATTATTTAACTACATTTTATAATCTCTCTTTCAATCTCTTTTCATCTCTCTCTCTCTCTCTTTCTCTCACGCTCTTTACCTAAGGTCATAATTTAATCTCATGCACTTTGTAATATCAAATTATCTAAAAATATCAAAAACTGTCAAAACTTAATTTTTTTATTTGTTATGGCAGAAAAAAATGTTAGCACGGAATTTACAAATTCGTTAGATACATTCGCTCGAGACTTATATGATAAACTGGTGGGTTCATCAGCCGATAAGGATCTAATATGCTCTCCTCTTTCGATACAAATCTGCGCTGGGATGTTGCGCATGGGCGCCAAAGATGACAGCGAAACCAGCCGTCAGCTGGACGCCGGACTGAAGTTCAGCTCGACCGATGCCAATCAGATAGCTGATGGCTTTCATAGCGCTCTCGAGTATTACCAGAAGTACAGCGTGCTGCGCATGGCCAACAAGGTGTACATTATGGACAATATACAGTTACGCCCTGACTTCAGCGAGGCGCTGACTCAAAAGTTTCTTTCAACTCCCGAGTCTATCGATTTTCGAAATGCCCAGAAATCGGCTGCCACTATCAATGGCTGGGTCGAGTCCCAGACGAATAATCTCTTGACGGACCTGGTTAGTCCAGACTCTTTCAGCTCAGCCACTCGCCTGGTGCTAATCAACGCGGTGTATTTCAAGGGTGCGTGGAATAGTAAGTTCAATGAAAAGCAAACTCGTAACGAAGTTTTCTTTGTGGATAACAAAAATAAGATTCAAGTATCTATGATGAACGCAACGAACGATTACTTGTATGCCGAACTCCCAAACTTAGATGCCAAAGCCTTGCGGATGTCTTACAAAGACACTCAATTGTTCATGTTGGTCATTCTGCCCAACAAAAAAGATGGCCTAGCGGATCTGGAGAATGGTCTAAAATCGACTACCCTGGAGAGTATCGCATCTGAACTGTTCCCCACAAAAGTATCTGTCAAGCTGCCCAAATTCAAAACTGAATTCAGTATGGAGCTAACACCTGTCTTCCAGGCCCTGGGCATGGATATAATATTTACTAATCCAGAGTTTGATAAAATGCTCGAGAAGATAGAGCCACTGAAAGTATCCCAAATTGTGCACAAGGCATTCATTGAGGTTAACGAAGAGGGTACCGAAGCTGCTGCTGCAACTGCCATTTTTGTTAATTTTGAAATGATGTCATCAACAGAGGATGAGCCCAAAATTTTTCATGCCGATCATCCATTTTGCTATATTATTTACGACGAAGTCTACGGTTGTCTCTTCATGGGCAATTTCAAACAGAAAGATCCGAGCTCAATAAATACATCTGAGCTATGCAAACCCTGTAAGTCAGAATGTCCAAGATTACATGCAAAAAAATGAACTTTATGAATATAAGTAACAGTCAAATATAAAAATAAAATATATAATAATACATATAACGCGGAATGCTGAAACTAAAAGAGATAAGTGCATGTTATCTGTAATCTTAAATGGGCGATAGAATTCTAGTCTAGTATCTATCTTGACAATTTCGCTTTCAATTACAAAATGATTTTTATCTCGGCGACCACACCCTGGGTTACTTCATTAGCTGGTTAATTTCCATTGCGAACCTTAACACATCTAATCTGGAGACAACTCACCTATCATTTATAGCAGCTAGAGAATCGGAGGAATGCACTCGGCTGTTGACTGAAAATGATAATGGGGCCGATCGAGGCGCCCAGAATGACAGTCAAATTACTTTCGAGTAGCGCGATATGATAAATTCTTCGTTTTGATAAATTATTCTGTGATATTTACATTACAGCGGACGACGATACAAATCAACGCTCAGCCCTGCCCCTTATCAGCAGACCTTATCAGAAGCCCGTGAGTGCTTAACCGTATGATATTCAACTACTCTGGGCAAATATTTGCATTTGTTACGGCTTAGTTTGCTACCAGTCTTGGTAACAGCAGGGCTGTAGCCTTCAGCCCAAATGTCGGCCAAACTATCCAAGTATGTAGAACGCGCCCCTCGGCACTAATAAAAAAAAAAATAATAATAATAAAAGCATGACATTTAGACCAAGCGAATATGAAATTTAGCTAGAAATTATTTCATTTCTAATTAATTACTCCAAAGAGAATTTCAGTATGGAATAACATCACTAACTCAAAGCAATATACAAAAAATTTTTTAAAGCTATTTTTATTTTCATAGTGAAAAGAATAATGACAAGATTTTTGTTTTATTTTAAATATATTGTTAAATATATTTTCTGACTAATCAAAATCAGTTTAATAAATTTCCTATATTGATATATTTTTAATAGAGTTGCATATTTTGACATATTTAATTATATTGATATAAAACAATATAAGGGCACGAAAATGTCTTTGGCTTAGGCTTAATGTCTTGAGCTTCACAAGTTCAGCCTGTAGCTGGCCTTTAATTAATGACTACTTTGACTTTGCATGCGGCGAGCTAAGCCCAATAAGCTGTTCCATTTTACTGGCCCAAATAATGAATGTGGCTATAAGTAGACGCACAGTATCTGGCGGTCACAGCTGGCAAATGCGCGGCCTTTCATGCTGCCCTTTTATATTTAACTAACTTTAGTTATTGTTGCTTATTGTCGGAGGCAGACAGGCAGTTAAGCATTTTAAGCAGCCCTCTGAAACAATTTAACAAAAATAAAATATGAGAAAAAAAATACAACTCGCTGTTATTTATAATTTACAGCTGGTTAAATGATGTGCATGAGCTGCAGTTGCTGTGACCTCTTGGAGGTTGATGTCGTTATTAATAGCCACAGTGGAACAAGAAACAAAAATTAAATTTAATAATAATAATAAAAAAGATGCCATGCTGAAGGCCATCAAGTGACATAAATCTCGACGAAAAAAAATTGTGCACAAAATAAAAAAAAAGTCAGCTGAATGGGCTTGACACTGCGCTATATAATCAGAGGTAGACACGGATCGATTATAAATAATACACTCTATACTGTCTGGGAATTTATTTACATATTCATGAGTCTGTAAGCTCGCTTGACTCTTTGCAATATGATGAAGTATTTATTTTTTTAGACAACTGTAAAAAAAAAACTCATATGCATCTCTATTTAATAATTCAAAAATTTATAAAAATTATCATTATGTAAATTATCAACTGTGGTTTCGCCTCATAAGCCACCCACAACTACAGACAATGCCCAACTAACTGTTTAAACTAACTGAACCATACTAAAAAAAAATAAAAAAAAAAGACTTTGAAAGCCGTTACAAAGTACAACTATTTGCGGTTTATAAAATTGCTAAAAGCACTTGTTCTTTTGTTTGTTTATTTGTTGTTGTTGTTGTTGTTAATGCAATGACGAGGTCTCTTTCCATGCACGGAACGCCTGACTATTTTGTACTTGGCTCTATATAATTATTTCCCTTGACGGTCCAAGAAAATCGTTCAAGCAAATACGTTTCAATTATTTGCATTTACGACAAATCGAACGGGTTCATTTAGAATTATTCAAGATGAAAGTAAAATATGCTAAAAATAACAAAGATTCATAGAACTATCTAGAACAAATCATTCATTATAATATTCATCAATGACAAGAATTGTGTGTGTGTAAAGCACAGCAGCTAAACAGCTTTCTTTATCTATCGGGGAGACTAGCTGTCGCGAGCCAAGAGCTTAAAAAAGGTGTGCAATGTAATTAAAGATTTCTTTTATTGTATTTAAAAACATTTTTTATTATTTACTCAGACTTGCTTTAACCTTGAACAACTGTCTATATGAGGTAGAAAATGAATGTAATCAATGTATTTCAGAAATTTCAAACAGATAGCATTCCCGAAAATTTCCGACGCTCGATAATTGTAATTAAATTATTAAATTGGTCAAGTTAAATGCAAATATTCTAATTGCCTTGCTATAGAGTACAGCTAAATGTTTAATTCTCTTGGCAGGCGATTTGCTTATATTTTAATTGCTGTTGCTGTTGCTGTTGTGAGTTTTGTTTTTAGCATTTGTGACGTCTCAATAGGGCGTGTAATCGAAAACGCATTCGTAATTGTGGCCATAATTGAACTGTTTTCTCAAACTCTGAATGCGGGGTCATTGCACTGGATTCTATGCCAAAAAGCGTATTAGTCAGAGCTTTGCATTACCCGATAGCCAGCTATAATAATTGCCTTTGCGGTCATAAACTGCAATCGTGTGGAAAATTGCAACGTTGCTAAAAGCCAAGTCACAAAATAAAAACAAAAACAAACATACAAAAATTAGAAATACAACAAGCCGCAATAGAAATTGTTCCTTGGACTTTTATGAATCGAAGTAGCTGACAAATTACTCGATCAGCGTTTACACTTTGACCAGTTGACGTAGAGTTTCTAGAAAAATCATCGAGCAATTGGACCGCCTGAACCAATACCGAAATGCATATTCAGTGAGCTGCAATTACTGTAATTAAGATCTAATGGTCTCTGCCGGATATGGAAGGCGGGCAGTGAGAGTATTAACAGATATTAACCCCCATTAGCTATACCTAATAACCGGTTATCTCGCGATTGTCTAGCAGTTGTTGACAAAGTACTTGCTCAGCTGAGAGCTAGACTAAACAAGGCAACTGCGGCTTATAAATCAATGAGCTAGGCTGAGCTGAGTTAGATGAATAGGATAGGGAATGAATGCAGTAAATCAACGCCCATTTGAATTACAAAAATGAAAAAAAACTAAATGTAAAAGACCTACTGTAAATATATTCCGGTTGCAGATAACATAGTATATCCAGAACTTATCTCTAACGTACCTTGAATAGTTCAGTGGCTTTTCTAAAGTAATATTCCATTACAGCTCCAGCCAGTGCTTATGAAATTCCTAATCAAAAAGTTAATATTATGAAAATACTTATCATTTTCATGTCCATGTAACTTTTTAATGAGTCTTACATTGCAAGAAGCACACAGCAGCAATCCTCAAAATTATTTCCAACTGCGACATTCACTTCAAATGGGACGTGCCAAACCGAAAGACAATGGAATTTACATATTAAGCTCCGGCTGGGCACTCGACTTTAAACAAAACAAACATATAATGTTGTGTTAACAATTTCGAAGAGCTTATAAGGTAAAGACTTTCTATTAGAATGTAGACCGAGTCGCTTAACTATATTACGAGCTCGCTGAGTATACCAAGTTATAATTGAATAAAATGAAGAATGGCTTCACTCTTACAGCTCCAAAATCATCAATTAAATATATTTATAAGCATTTAGAGAGTATAAGCTATTCGCTTACATTTATTCATTGCTGCCTTATATATTCAGATAAAAGAATGCCATTTAACACAAATTTCATAAATTGTGCAATTCCTCGCAAATGATTTTATATGTACATTCGCATAATTCTCTTTTTTTTCGCCATATCAAATTGCTTTTCAGTTCTGTGAAATGGAAAAAAAGCAGCAAACATGAAATGAAAAGATAAAAAAAAAATGCGAATACAAGTGTTTACATTGTGTGTACATGAAATACAATTGAAATATGCAAAACAACAAAATAAATGGCGTTGGCTTTGGCTTCGGCCGTGCGATAAAGTTAACACCTTTGAGCTAGCAAGGGACTCGGCATAAAAGAAATGAAGAAATGAAATGAAATAAAATACAAGAACAACGACAAGCGACAAGCGACAGGCGACAATTTCGCAAACACGAGTTCCGTCAGTCAAATGACACTTGGACACGAGGTCCAATTGGAGCTGGGCGCAAATTTGAAAATCGATATGACATGAAGGAAAACAAGGGCAATCCGGCCGGCAAGCGTCAACGTCAACGCCGACGGCCGATGTCGTATGTCGAACGTCGAACGTCGAACGTCGAACGTCGAATGCCGAACGGCCAGCAACCGCAAGGCATTCCTCTAGCCAAGCGGAGGTGGCAGAACCGCAGCCGTGTCAAACAGTGATGTACGAGGCTAACTTTGACTTTTTGGCGAGCACGTTGGGCGACAACATCAACAATAATGACACAAAAATGTAAGTAATTGCCGAACCTTTGACAAACAAACGGCAGTCAAGACAGGCGTCAAGGGTTATAGGCCATCCGGCAGTCACTCTCACGCTCTCGCACCCAGTTGCTGGCTGATAACGTCATGAAAGGCCCACAAATTTGATAGCAACACGGGAATGAACAAAAACCGCAAGTGGCAAAAAACGTGAGCAACTTTTTTATATTTTATTTATTTTGTTGTTTCGTTCTTTTTTCCACTGCCTTCATTTTCAGTTGGCTGGCGGCCAAACAAAAACAAATGTGCCGTGGAACATTTTTCTTTCCATTTTTCTTTACTTCTTCGTTTTATTTTGTTCTAGCATGAAATTTACTTTTCTAATGAATGA